TTTTTTCGCGCTTCGCGCGAAATCTTGCCCCCCCCTGGCTAAAATCCTGTGTACGCGCCTGATTGCAGTCCTTCATCAATAATCATACAGGGAAATTTTCTTTTTTCTAAATATCCCAGGGAAATTCTTTAACTTGAAGTTTTATATATCGAAAAAAAATTGTGCTGCATTTTTAAGAGTCAATCAAATTTTTCATGATTTGTTCACTAAATATCAATAAGAACTTTCGCACCGGTTTCTGTCAAACGTAAACATAATTGTTATATTCAATTTATCATTCAAAACAATACTTTAATTCCAGAGAAACCCAATTTTCTAATTTAATTAGGCGTTTATTATTTGAAAATAAATAATTGCTTCAATACTTATTTTGATGTTGAGTAATATCAGAGAGTTTTTAGTAATTATTGAAATTTTAGTGGTGTGCAGACAGCGTTGCTCGGTATCTTGCAGTTGTCAACTCATCAATCAATTTCTTAATCTACTGTCTTGCGGGTTCTCAGTTTAGATCGGAGCTTAAAAAAACTTTAGGAATGTGTAGGTGAGTAACAGGCACAACTTAATTTTCCTTTTAAATAAAAACTTATTCTAAATTGGTTCGACTTTTGTTTTATGTTTATTATTTTTAAAATATATATATATATATATATATTTATATATATATATATATATATATATTTCAGTTTCTAACTTCACATTTTTTATTAAAATATATAATATAATAATATATATATATATAATTGTAGATATAATTGTAGGGGTTCACAATCATCTCCTGTGACAAATTCATTCTCTTTGCGGAGTATACGGCGCCGGTCTTCCTTCAGTACAGGTCAATCACTTTAAACAAATGTGAATACTTTGTGAATTCTGAAGCAGAAGTTTAGCAGCATTTTGCAGATTATCCTATAAAATGAAGCTAAAGACAAAAACATTGCTGCTTTGCAGTTTTAATATGGATGGCTTCAAAAAGTATGCCAGATTGGAATGGGCAAACCCAGGGACCGATGCATTGCAGCTCTTTCAAAATCTATTAGTTGTTTTTAGCATAAGCCTCACAGAATAAAAATGTATTTTTATGTTTCATTTTTATATGAAATGTTTGCCATGATTACATTAACCATAACCAAATTTGCCATAAGCAATACTTGCCATAAGTTAAACAATTGCCATAAGAGATAAATTTGAAATAATTACTATTTTGTAGTATTCAAGATTAGATTAGGATTTACAACAAGGCCGAGTGCATGGTTTAACTATGACAAACCTAGTTAAGGCAAATGTAATGATGAAAAACGTGTGATATGACTAATGCAACTGAGCCATCTAAAACTAACTCCAGTACTTAATTTATTTGACAAAACAAAAAAAACAGTATTGGCTTTCACACCTTGTAAATGCTATATGATTTCTAGCAGTCAAAAAACAAATAAAGGATTGAATATTTTAGGACTGAACTCCTCATTAAATCAAAGTAGCAGAAGAAATCGTATTGGTGTAAACTGCCCCAAAATCAAAATTTGGGTTATATGTCGATATATCCGTGCGTTTGTGCGTTATCTTTTCTTTATGTGTGTTTTCAAT